CCCCCCCCACTCACTTTGTAATTTGGAAACTGAGCAAAGAGTTTGGGGAAATTCAAAGCAGAGAAGTTCATTTACTAAATCTCTGGGACTAATCCAATTATCCAAGCTGGGGAAGGCTGGAATAACCTTTTAATCGGGCACCCGTCGAAAAGGGCCCTGGCCCGCTTGTCTGAAGAGCCCCGCACTGCCATTGTTATGAAGCGCTGCCCCCCCCCATTTCATTACAGCGCCCCGACGAGCGGGAGACTCGACAGATCGGGCCCGCTAATCCGCGGCGGCACTGTGATATCGACGCTGGGTAGACAGCCTCTCCCGGGGGTCAGGGATTATCTCCTAATGATCATCCCTCATCTGGGTACGGTGCTGGATTCGCCTCCCTGGCTCGCTCACAGGCAGCGGGACCCCCGTTCCTGGGGGGTGGGGGGTCCTGGGGCTTGTTTCTGCTCCAGGTTACTGTCATTGTGATACAGGCATTGATGCTGATCTTTAATTAGCCTATAGGAGCTCACCTCTCCTATATGTGTGTATGTGTGCGCGTGTGTATGTGTGCGCGTGTGTATGTGTGCGCGTGTTGCTGTTGCTCCCATGTTAACTTGCCCTTGTTACTGCTTGTTCACTGGAAGCTCAGCCTTGCTGCACTTATACAGCACTCACAGACTCACAGACTCGTGTTGGGACGCTTGCTCAATTCCCTGAAAATCCCCTTTATTAGGGCTTCATAATAAAAGTCCACTGATAAGCGATGTTTAACATATCTGCACATGTCTTCTGCATAGACATTTTCTTTTTGTATTTTGCTTGACACATTAAGATCTTTTCTTGCCATTTTGCTATTAATTGCAATTGTAGTCACTGGACACTAAACACAAATGTTTGGTGTTTTACGTTATTGCAGAGATGTTACTAATATAAAAGCACCCAAAGAGACTGCTTTTTAACTCCGAATGGCTCTTTTAGAACTATAATGTAGGTTTTACTTAAAACGGCTGGTTGTTTCTAAAGTGATATATATTTTTATAAACAAATAAAGATTTTTGTTATAAAGCCAATAAATTTGCAATATTTTTACTGAATTAAGAAAGCGCCCTATGACAGCTTTGGGCGCTGTCACTCTGAGCCCTGGACAGCTAAGGTACAGTCATGGTGTGTCGTAATAAAAAATGTTTCGATCTCAGCAAAAGTTCTGCATATTTCTCGCTTGAAGGCTGTGGCGGTCGGAGATCCTTGCGTCTTAAGTCGCCACTTGCTTGAGTCTCTTCCTGACGGCCTTTGAAGATGCTGGTCAAGGCACAACAAAAAGGAAGTTTTTGCATATGGGGAAAGGCAAGAAAAATCCCGGGTTCAATTATTCACCGCATTAATCAGGGGGCGTCCTAATGGAATCGGTTTCGCCACCATCACATTACACCTTTAAGGCCGGTGAATAATTCACCGCCGTCTGATTAATTGTTTATGTCCGTTATTCGTTTTCATACATTCCCTGCGGTCTTGGGGAGAGTCACGCATATCCCTCAATATAGACCCCAAAGGTTATTTTGTTTTGCCATGCGGATCTGGCAGAATGATTCCAGAGGTAGGATATGGGGGCGGGGGGTCAGTTTGTTTGGCAGCGGGTGGGGCCAAATCGGACAGCCGGTGCCACGTGACCCCGCCCCCTTCACCACCCAGCCACATCTGTTTCTGGGGGGTGTAGAGGGGCTACGGGCTGGACCATCTGTCTGGAGGAGGGGGGGGCAGTCTAGCCCAGGGGTCGGAGCCATGCCCCAGTGACCTCGGCGAGGATTCCCGTCTGTGACGGAGCGTGTGGCGTAACCCAAGAAGAGAGCTGGCCAGCAAATAAAGCTTAACCGCCCGTTGGATAGGTCCCCCGATGACATACCGATTTCCTTTAAGAATGTCCTTCTAAACAGTCAGGTGCTGCTATGTCCAGGGCACAAACGTGCCAGCCTTCCTATGAGTTAATGATTGACATCTTAGGTAATTATTCTACCGAATTGTACGTGACAGTGTTAAAATGTTAGCTTGCTCACTGGATAGACACTTCAAATACAGCTTGTGCGTTCGCAAGATGTCGATTCGTCTGGTTAACACCGGCTTCTCTCGCAGGCTACCTGCTTTCCTCTGACAAAAGATGAAACTGACAAAGTTAGTCACTGAAGTTAGTCACGGTTTGCTCAGGCTGCTGTCTCCGCGCATTAACTCCATCCTGGCAGTGAAGGATGCACTAGAGAGTAGAATGCTAATGTCATCGCGACAGACGGGCCTTCCCTTGGGGGCGGCTGCGTCGTGGATCTTTCTGGAAGCGGTCAGGCCCGAAGCTTGGTGAGTTTCAACTGTGCGCTTGTTAGTAGGCCCTCGTCAGGCCCTAATGGGCTGTAAGTGGCTCTCCGTGTAGAGCTGTCCTACGGTAAACTCGGTCCTGCTGCTAAGAACAGGGCGAATGCTCTTCATCTCCACCTTGGCTTGTAGTACAACCTGTCAGAATGTCGCGCCGCCCGCAGAAGACGCGTCGCCACATCTCACTTCACATGGCGCCTAGTTTGGGACCCGCTCTCCTGCAGAAGAGGAGCGTTTACTTGCACGTTTGAATTTAACGTCCTCCCCGAAGTGTCAGAGTCTGGCTGCTACGTTTCACGCCAGGCTGTCCCAGGGCACTTATACATCGGTGGTTATTTGTGCACTCGGCAGGGTTCACCTATCCATGATCTCGCGCTCTTGTGGGACGCCAGTCTACCTTTCCATTATTCTTTTTTCCGTGCACGCGTTCAAACAAACCAGCCCCGCCACGGTGGAGGAGCCGCTCTCCTCTATTCCCCGGCTCTGAGAGGCAAGTTGACTTTCTCAAAAGCCCTCCAGGAAGAGAAACACTTCAGTGGGCTCTGTCCCAAAAGCCCCCTTTACTTTTCTCTTTGTGAGGGAGAGACAGAGGGGGGGGAAAAAAGACTTCTCGCTCGTTCTGCGCAAAATAGTCGCCGTATACTCCCGCGACTCTGAAAACCCGCGGCGTGTTTGAGGTTTTGGTGCTTTTTCCTGACAAGACGGTTCCAGACAACGGGAACGAGCTCTGTGACCAACCCTTCGCTAGCGTTTAGCTTTCGATAACCTTTGTAAGTGTTTAGCCGTTCACTATTTGTTCCTGGCATTGAGTCGTTCAACTGTCCTCCGCTTGTGTTTAACTCCTGGTTGTCCTTGGCTAACATTTAGTCATTTGCTAGCTTTCACTTGTGTATAACTGTTTGCTATCCTTGGGTAGCATTTTGTCACTTGCTAGCCTTCGCTAGTGTATAACTGTTTGCTATCCTTGGGTAGCATTTTGTCACTTGCTAGCTTTCACTTGTGTATAACTGTTTGCTATCCTGGAGTAGCATTTTGTCACTTGCTAGCCTTCGCTAGTGTATAACTGTTTACTATCCTTGGATAGCATTTTGTCACTTGCTAGCCTTTGCTAGTGTATAACTGTTTGCTATCCTTGGGTAGCATTTTGTCACTTGCTAGCCTTCGCTAGTATATAACTGTTTGCTATCTTTGGGTAGCATTTTGTCATTTGCTAGCCTTCGCTAGAGAATAACTTTGCTATCCTTGGCTAGCATTTAATCATTTGCCACCCATTGCTATTGTTGAATTGTTTTCCAGCAGGACGTTTTCTCGATTGGGTATCATGATGCTACCCGTTAACAACAGATACTGCTGTGGGGTGTCAGTCATTTATAGCCTCTTATACGATATTTTTAACTGAGTTGTGATGAAATGCAGCAAGCTCATGTTGTTTTTTTCTCTGTGATTCTTCCATTAGGTAGACTCATCTTTACTATTTATTGAGAAGAATTCATGAGAAAATTAGAGTTAGAATCCCCCAAAAATGTTGAAATTCTCTATGCTGAAATACTCGATTGACTGAAGAAAATTAGGAGTGCGTGTATCAGTTGTTGATGTGCATGGCTGATATAAAGTATAATAAATGATAAAAATGAATGTGCAGTGAGAGATAGAAATGTGTCCCAGGAATAAACTATTCTGTAAAATTTGCCTGTCTTAGTGTTACCCACCCAGGGATTATGGGAGAGTCACTGACTGTTTATTGTCCATGTGAAATATAACAAATAAATAAAATAAAGAACATCAAAGGACAGCAGTTTTCTAGTTATGATTGTAATTATGTAGGACATTGTTTGCCTGTATCCTAAGCAGGCTTGTCAGTTTGGTGTGAGATTGCCCTTAAAGTCGGGCTTTGATCCCGCTCTGCCACGCCCACTGCCATGCGGCAGACAGCTGGACAGAAGGCTTTCAGTAACCCCCCCCTCCCCAAAAAGGGGGCAGTGAGTGGAGGGTTGTAGGTCCGGGGGGCAGCACCTGGGAACCTCCTCCGAAACAGATGCTGGCCAGTTGTGGTGTGTTGGGAGCGTGGGGGGTGGGGGTACAGGGGCTCAGGGCAAGGCTGGGGGGGGGTTGCCCCTTCTAGTGGCCAGCGTGCATCGACAGCAGGAGCGAGCAGGGATGGGACGCAGATTGGAGCTGACAGCGGTGGAGATTCGATTATGTAGTGAATGTCACTCACAAGCTTTGATCACGGGCCACCACACCGTGTGTCTGTGTCTGTGTGTGTGTGTGTAGATGAAGATATATATACATACATATTTTTCTACAAGGAGATAGCAGTGCAGGTTTTGGAACTCAATCTCTTGAATTCACATTTATCTCAAAAGAAAAAAAAAATCCTCAGACTTCCCGCATGCTGCACACACACACACAAACACAAACATTTTGCATTCATATCTTTGTGGGGACTCTCCATTCATTCCCATGGGCAAAACCCTAATCCCAACAATGGTCAATGACAGCCTTAACCCCTACCCAGTCCCAAACTTAACCATAAGTAACCAAACAAAATATAAGTCTTTCGGCATTTTTAGTTTTTTGATTGCGGTTACAGATTTTTATAAAATTGAATTTCCCCTTGTGGGGACTGAAGAGGTCCCCACAGCATCAAAATAACAGGTCAAATGTTCCCATAATGTAATATATATACACACACACACATATACACACACACCATCTATCCATCATATATATAAACCAGGGAAACACTGTATATATGGTAGTATAATTTATGTGATAATAACATTAATTGCACTGATATATCTCCTCAAGCAAAGTGATTGTATGACAGCATAAACAGCATTAATAAATGTGCACTTCTGTGTCTTTTCAGTGAGACCTCCAGTATTTGTAGCAGTGATCCCGGCCTTTTCACGAACGACGAGGGAAGGCAAGGTAATGTCTGTTCGCTTGTAATTGATGTTTAGGTTTCATGTTTTGTTGGCGCAATAAACACGGAATGCCTGTAATTGCAGAGTAGTTATGCACGTTTAACAGTTTGTGTCAGAAACATAAAACACACATTACCATCTTTAAAAATGAGAAATATTAAATACACATGAATAAAGATCTCCGGCATCGAACATAAAATCGGTTCATTAATACACAGGGATTTCGATATTTGCATTTACATCTTTTCCATGCTCTTTTATGAAATGTTTAAAAAACAGGAGCGTGCAAAAATGAGAGAGAAAAAAACAACGCAGTTGTTTTAAAAGGGGAGAAAAATAAACAGAGCAAATAATGCGTAATATGCTCTCTAATTCGAGAACAGCGTTCAATTAGCCAAGCCGTGAAACCATTTAAATGCAAAAATGCAAATGAGCACAATTCAATTATGGTGTTAAGCAGTGTGATCCCTGCGTGTGTGTCTGTCTGTGTGTGTTTTTGAAGGCGTTTCCATACGGATACAGGCTTCCGACACGGTAACCCTCTGTAAATGTTACTGCCTGGCCCCACCCGGCCCGGCCCAAATGTGTTAGCTAGGGCAGAGGAGCCTCCTGTCCCTGCGCCGTATGTGTTGTTGAGAGGCACACGGCTGCTTGCTTAAGGGTGTGGAGGCTTGTGGGGGGTACAGGGGCTTGTGGGGGGGGGGGGGTTGTACCAGACGGGCCTTACGAGAGGCTGTCAGGTTGGCGCTAATGAGTGCTGAAGGCCCGGGTAATGTCATTAGCCGTGGTCGGCACACGGCACACGCCCGCTTAACCGTCGTCAGTGCACCTTGACTGCTAGAGGCGGGGGCCACATGTTTGGGTGACTGACAGGTCTGCCGAGAGGACGTCTGCTGGGAGTGGGAGTTCGGGGTTTCGGGGGGTGGGGGAAGGAGCCGGTTGTTAACATCCCTATTCCTGTGGGCCAAGGGGCTGTCTTCCCTGATGGCGAGTCAGTTGACATGGCTTCCAGG